CGCGGGCACAGCAATACTTCCCTGCTTGGTACGCGCCAAACTGGTTGGCTTTCTTTGGCTTGGCATCCTTTGGCTTGGCATCCTCTGGCTCAGAGTTCAATGAGGTCGCAGGGATCGCTGGGGCTGCAAGAGAAGAAGGCTTGGGGTGGTTCTTGTCAGCCTGTTGGGGTTGAAGGCAACTTGGGTGACTACCCTCCGGCTCGTCCTTCTGCACGACCTGATGGTGCTCGTTCTTCACATGTGTTACGTTCTTCCCGTTCTTCACCTTCTTGCCCTTCCCCTTCTTCTTTCGGGGAACCGGATTTACGGAAGCCCACTGACCCGCCTGAACTACATCCGCATCAGTCGCAGCACAATCACCTTCATGCTCGTCATCACTTTGACACTCCCCTTCCTTCATCTTAGTGACATACTGCGCGGAGGCTGGGAAAGCCTTCGGAGCGGCCTCTGCAGCCGCCAGAGTGGAGAGCACCTAGGGAGGGCTAGGGCTGGGCAGTGGCTACCTTAAATCTAGGGAGTTATTGGGGGTGGCTTTGGAGTTTAGGCTTTGGGGTTTCAAACATCTATAGCTAGCAATTCCTGGACCCTAGACCCTAACCCCTAAAGCCTAAACTAAACCCTAAACTCCTTAAGCCCTAAACCCTAGACCAGAAACCCTTAGGCTAAAGTCGGTTGGCTGACTTCAGTCAGGGTTCGTACTGCAGCTCTGCAGCTGCTATGGCAAAACACATGAGGAGGCCCAAGCACGAAACCAAGATTTGGGGTTTAGGACTTGATTTTTTTGGGGCTTGTGCATTTTAATTCGTGCTGCAGAAGCACAAAATCAGGCAAGACTGGGTGGTTCGATTTCGGAGAGGCAGTGTTGACAACAGCCTTCTTGTCGTCATCTCGAGTTGCGGCCAACGGCCTCGCAATCTGCTGCATCATACGCATCTTTCGCACTGCCTCGGAAAGCTTGGAGCCATCCTTAGTCATGTCCTGCTGCAGCTTCAGGCTTTGCAGTTGCAAAACAACTCGTGACAGCTTGGAATCTGCACTGCTTGTAGATAGCTGGCTCACCCCACAGGACACATTCGAGGGAGCCCGTGTCGAAACATCGGATAGGGCCGACAAGGTATCGCATGAACCTTTGCCCTTGGGGGGTTTGATGTCCTCGGCTAGACAGCAGCACATGGTAGCTATCATGCACATGAACAGCATTCAGGGTGTGGGAATGATTTTACAAAATATGTAGTGTGCACACAGGATAAAAGTCCAAGGGTCCAAGCCCAAGCCTTTAAAACGCTCTCTCAGATCCTGCAGCAGCCCCATTTTGGATGACTTGGCTCTCTTGCAAAGCCTCCTGAAGCGGGAAACCTGGCATATATGTGTAGGGTTACAGATGCTGCTCGGAGCTTCTAGAGCTATAATATGTGACATGATCACTGCCACGAGTTTAAACTGCTGTGCGGAGCTTCTAGACCTACGTATGTGACATGATCACTGTTTAAACTGAGGAGGTAGCAAGGCGCTTAAGCGCATTTCCCACTTTGAATGACCACACATCCACACAGGGAAGTTCCGCGCAAAGGCCCGGAGGAAACAACTTGTTTGTGGTGTAGTACATGAGGACACCTTTCTGAATAGCATAGGCAGACAGCCCTTCCGCGCGACAGTGGTACGCTTTGCACACTGCAAAGATTGCCTCACACAGGGCTAGGAGAGATTGGACGTACCAAGCCTTTGTTATTGCACGCATCAAACTTTACATGCCCAACCTCCGCATTGACTGCCACATCCCGGAGTGTTGGACGGGACTTCGTGTAGAGATTTCCACTGTGATCCAAAACAAAATTCAAGCCAACCTAGAGATCCAAGCGTGGGGCATAAATGCAACATGCGTCGCAAGTAAACCAAACTTGCCCAACTATCTTTAAGTTGAGGCTCATCCTTGAGCTTGGGCTCATCGGAAAAAGCTTGCGCCAGCGAGATGTAAACTGGATGTTGGCTCGTGGCCGGCATGAGGCAGGCTGGTGCTGAAAATAAGTTACTCAGAAAGTGACAAGAAGCATGTTGTGGCACAACCCCTTGGCTCTATACATTCAAAAAAAGCACCTGCACTGCGAGCCGCAAAATCTGGCATACCCAACATGCAAGCACAGCAACAAGCTCACATCACACAGAGAACCCTGTCAAGCTTGAAGCATACGGGGAGATCGCGCTCTGAAAACTTTCACGGAATATACACAAGAGCAGCACATGTGGTGGGGTGGCACCTGCAAGGAGATGCCATGAGCGCTGCGCCTGCCATTGGAAGCACTGCGTTCATATGTGCAATCGTTATCTCTGTCAGCGCAACATTAAGCAGGATTCTTCATCAACATGAGGGGCGCACCATCGATCCAGGCCATCAATATGGCTCGCCCGTTCCAATTCCAATTGCACGTACACGGCCATTGCTACAGCAGTCGAAGTATACTACAAGTGGCAGATGCCGTACTTGCAAAGGTGGAGCGCAACCAATCGACAGAAGACCCTAGCTCGTAGTACCTGATGGTTTGTGCATACTGCAGGTGCTTTTTCCAGGACAATTGCTGAGGTTTTGGAGTCCAAGAGCAAGAAGGTTCACGTGCGAGCTTTTTGCTGATATGGACAAGGCTCTCTCTATCTTCAGTAAATTCGCGACCCAGACCTACACCTACAATGTACCATCAGAAATCATGTAATCCAGCTTCGAAGCAGCACTGAAGCACAACTGTCTTGGGCAAAGGACATCTCAGTCAGGCCTGCCCTGCAAAAGGACAGGATCGAGTCTACTCCCGAAAGCGGCTGTCGCTCAACCTGCATCAATCTTCGAACAGACCTGAACAAAAACGAAGTCCGGATCCAACCAGACAAGCTGCCAGACCACATGAGCCAACTTAAGACTGTGCGACACTTGCCATTTTCGTGTCCGCCCTCCCCCCCCCCCCCCTTCCTGTTTGGGGCCCTTCATTCAACCTGCACAACTGCAAAAAAACAAAACTGTCGCAATTAAGGTATTTACACACGGAGCAGCATGATAGCCCATGCAGAGGGTACAGCCTCCCGCGCTCACCAGGGCAGCCCGTAGGCTGGCTCGATGGGGGTACATGAGCTCTGAATTATCTTAGCCATATATACCAGCACGGCCCATATGCCCTGCTGTGACGCGCCAGACCCATGGCACTCAAAGCACCGGAGTGTGAGCAAACACCACACCCCAGATTCCGGACAACAGTCCGACACAAGCCCATACACCTACATCGAACGCCTAAATCTCGAGGCTAAATGTGTTTCACATGCACACAAAGATCAGGACACATATGGCCTCCCCTCCCTACAGCTTCTGCGACGTCGTGGCCAGCCGCCATGATCCGGGACTAAGTCGGAGGTATCACCAGGGGCCTAATCACGACTAAATGTGGTCTATTTTTCGTGCACTAGAAACAACCGAGAATTCAGACCATTTGATCGTGATCTCACCAGTGGCGATACGCAAACCCCGACTTACTCCCCAACCCTGACTTGCGCCGGACCTCAAACGCCGAGCACCCCAGCATGACACATTTGCGCATCGTCCATGCTGTCATACACGCTATGGCGTGCGTTGGCCCCAAGGTGCTTGCTTGCCCCACACCCGGCCAACGGTATGGCTGCCTCCAGGAGGGTCACTCAACGTATTCGCCCTTTGGAAGCACGCTTGGGTAAGGCTATTGCAGCAGACAACACAAACACACGCAATCGGACCGATGTACAGGCGACTTGTGCCAAAGGCAACGACAAAGACAGACTCAACTGGATCCAGCATCACATGAGGTCAATGTCCCCAGTACTGCCTCGAACAAGCATCAGGAGCATATATCCTTCAAAACCATTGTTTGCCCTAAATTCCACGTTTAACTTCTACCCCCTGCACCACTTTTTCCAAATTTCCTGATTTTTCCCGGGTGATTTTCTTGATTTGCACGATTTCATAGTCAAACCAAGAAAACAAGGTCAAATCTGCAAAAGCCTTGCGACCCGCTTTTTTTAGATCATAAGGTTGTTCAGGAAGAAGAGCGAGCCCCCCGCCGCGGCAAAGCTGCCCGAGCCCGGTGAGGAGCGCGGTCGTCGCGCTGCAGACACAGTCGCGGTCCTCAAGATCCACCGCATTAATGCCATCTCCGCCGACGGCAGGGCTGTGGTGAAGGAGGACGCACCCGTCGATGAGGTCGCGATCGCCGAGGAGGAGGAGACCGTCGCCGCGGCCGTCGCGCGGCTCATGGAGGCCCAGGGCAGCCAGTCAGATGCGCCCAATTGGGAGATCCGTGCCATGGACGACGACTTCGTCCTCCGTGAGATGCAGCCCGATGCGACCTTTGCCTGCGACTGCACCAGGGTGGCTTTGTTGCGCAAGGGTGGCTGAGCCCGATTTGCGATAGCGGCTGCTGATCGCCCACGCCCCGCTGCGTCGGCCGTCTGTCGAGGACAGAACAGCCTCGACCGCTGACAGACGAGCAGATCTTGCGATTTGGTAGAAAAAAAGGGCCGCGCCGTCGCAGCTGGAGGAGACCGACGGAGGGCAAAACCTGAAGAGCTTGTTCGCGACCTGCATGCAGCCAGTAATTCATACCTGACTGCCTCCGAGGTTTCAAGCAGCTGACTGTCCACTGCGTAGACTTCCTGCGCAGGTGCGCGACGCAGCACGTCCCTAGCGCCTCCTCGCCATGCCCCGCGCCTGCCCCGGCGCCGCCACCGACGTGCCCTGTCGATACTCAGCGTCGTGGGTAGGTCGCGCTGCGCAGCCCAGTCCGGGCAACTCCCGCTGCCTCTTCTGTGATCTGGAGCGGCTCGAGGCGGCCCTGGCCTCTCCGAGCGGCTGGCACATGGTGTCACGGATGCTGCGGGCGTCTTGACTGCAAACCCTCAATTAATGCCTTGGATTCTTGTTGCTGCCTGTCACACTTGCTTCGGTCCGTGAGGCCCTCCGCACCCTCGACACCGGGGTCTACGAAGAAGCGATGGGCCGTGTCGCAGAGATAACGCCTGAGTTTGGCGCCATGGCGGAGCTCGTCCTCAGTCCCCCGACCGCCCTCGCGTGCAGGGAGCGGCACGTGGATGCCCACCGCGACCGCGCCAATGCTGCCTCCACGCCTTTCAGGAAGAAGCCCTCGGTCCAGCGTGGAAGTTCCAGCGCCAGCCGCGCCCGAGACAGGTCCTCGAAGGTCCACAAATCCTCCGGCTTACCTGTGGCATCCGGCTCCCAAGCCGAACAGGAGAAGAAGACGAAGAAGGATATGTCCGCGAAGGAAAAGAAGGGCGCCTCCAAGAAGAGACGTGCCACGACCAGTTCTTCTTCCTCCTCTTCCTCTTCCTCTTCCCCTCCCTCCAAAAAGAAGCGGAAGCAGAAGGCCAATATCAACAAAAAAGAGGAGTCCCCACCGCCATCTTCTTCCAGCGCAACCAAAAGCAAGAAGAGGGAGAAGAAGCAGAAGAAGTACAAGAAGGACGAGCTGCCCGAGCCTGGTAAGAAGCGCGAGTCCCCACCGCCTGCATCCCGCTCGAAGGAGCCCGGTCGTCGCACTGTGGACACCGTCGCGGTCCTCAAGATCCACCGCATTAACGCCATCTCCGCCGACGGCAAGGGCGTGGTGAAGGAGGACGCGCCCGTCGATGAGGTCGCCCTCGTCGAGGAGGAGGAGACCGTCGCCGCAGCCGTCGCACGGCTCATGGAGGCCCAGGGCAGCCAATCAGATGCGCCCAATTGGGAGATCCGTGCCATGAACGACGACTTCGTCCTCCGTGAGATGCAGCCCGATGTGACCTTTGCCCGCGACTGCACCAGGGTGGCTTTGGTGCGCAAGGGTGGCTGAGGTTGATTTGCTGGCTGGCGGGGTCTGATCGCCTACGCCCGCTGCGTCGGCCGTCTGTCGAGGACAGAACAGCCTCGACCGCCGACGGACGGACCGATTTTGGGAGCCATCTGGCTTCGGCAGAAAAGGGTGCGCCGTCGTAGCGAAGGGAGCCAGAAAACCTGAAGTGCACGACCTGCATGCAGCCATTCATTCCTGACTGTCTTTGAGACGTCGCTCGCATAAGGGTGTGCCTGAGACAGTATCGGCACTTCGTGCTCACACGCTTCCGCACACGTGCTGTGTCGCCGCTCGTTCGCTCCATGTTGCTCTGTTTTGCATGCCTCTGCGTGCCTGCAGCTCGGGATTTGCTTTTGCTTACTCTCCTGTCTGCGGCCGCCGACTCCAGGCCTGGTTGGATGCCCGTGAGTGTCGCCACACTGCGACTCGCTGTTTGTCAGGCGAGGCCTGTTGCGTGGACTCGGTTCTGCTTCGGCATGGACTTCCCTCGCCGTGTTGAGCGTCGCTCTCTTCTTGATGACGACTGGTTCCAACTGGGTTCGCGCCTACTCCTCTTCTCAACGCTGTTGCTTTTGCTCACATGTGGCCTCGAAGCTCTTGGCTCAGCAAAGTAACCGTGATAGCCGGGACCGCGCACGTACTGGCGACTCGGAGGTCGCGTCCGCAGTTCAGTGGTAGCTGATGTGGTCTAGTTTCTTTTGTTTCAGTCGTCTCACGCAAAAGTGCAACCATGTCTTGCTTGCTTTTAGGGCGATGGCTCTCAATCGACGACCGGACGATCTGATGGAGGTCGCAACTTCTTTCAGCTGATGCACATGGGTTAAGCTCGCGGCACGTCGCCAGGCTCGACGCCGGTACACGGCCTGGATCCGGGCGCATCTGAGGCCCGGCGTGGACGTGGTCGAGCTGAACCGCCAGGTCCGCCACTTGGCGGCCTATCCAGAAGTTCGGGCGCGGGGTCTGTTGTGCCTGAGCCAGGGCCTCCGCGAAGCCACCGACTCGGCGCTTCGCAAGATCTTTCTACAACGCCTCAGGCGCTCCAGTTTCGGCCTTGATGCATGCGCATGAAGTCGCGGCAGCGCATCCGCCTGCAAGGCACTGGATCCAGCGGCATCGGGAGGTTGACTTGGACCGGTACGGCCGGCGAAACAGGCGCTTGCTTTCACTTTCCTTTCTCTAAATGTCTGGCTTTTTATTGTTCGCGACGGTATCTGGCACGGACAGTTAGGCGGCCGCAGCCCTGAGTGCGCGGCGATGGCCTGTCCCGGCACGAGCATACTGCGGCGTCGTGCCAGCTTCCCCTGATGGCGCCTGCGTAGAGCTAGTGCAAAAATGGGTCTCGGCTGCCTCTAGCGTCTGCTCCACTCCACATGACACATGTGCCCTCGCCATGGTGCCATAGTGTTGCGTTGGTGAGCGTCCCTTCATGCAGGAGTTGCTTTGGCCCTGCGCATGCGTGCATTGATCCATGTCTATCTCTTCGTCAAGCCTCATGGCCTGTTCTCAAGCGTTTCTGGCTCACAGTTTCGTGCCATCAGCTCGCGCTTTGCTTTTGCTTACTCTCCTGGCTGCAGCCGCCGACTCCAGGCCCGGTTGGATGCCCGCGAGTGTCGCCGCAATGCGAGTCGCTGTTTGTCAGGCGAGGCATGTTGCGTGGACTCGGTTCTGCTTCGGCATGGACTTCCCTCGCCGTGTTGGGCGTCGCTCTCTTCTTGACGACGACTGGTGCCAACTGGGTTCGTGCCTTACGTGCCGACCTTCAGCTTGCAACACTGTGCTTCGATTCTTGTTCTGGCAGGACTTCGAGATGCGCGGCGAGGCTCGCCATGGCGATGGGTGGACGACTTGGGTTTTGACAGCACGAGGCTGGCCTCATCGTCAAGCGTCGCGATCTGCATGTTGGAAGTCCATTCTGCCCTCTGCATATTGGCCTTGCAGGCGGCTCCACTACCACCCGTCTGCCACCGGCCAGTGGCGATGGGCAACCGCGTCTGCGCGGCGCCCCCCGTCCGCCGTCGCCGCTGTCTTCGCACACGTCGAGGTCGACGACGATGACACGGGCAACCACTTCCACCAACCCCGTGGACGGCTTCGCTGCCGACGACCGACGTGGCCCCACTCTCAGCACATGGCCTGAGCATACCTCGACATGGACGACCACTTCCGCCGACGCTGTGGAGGGTTTGGCCACCGACGACCGACGTAGCGCTGCTCGCCGCACAAGGCCGAACGAGCGCTGCGCAGGGCAACCCGGTGTGCCATGCACGTGGCACACCCACGAAGCGGGTGCCGCCGCCAGATTGCAGCGGGGCCAGCAACGCTGCCCTCTTTGCTGCCGAGCACACATGCAAGCCCTGCACAGGACCACGAGAGGCCAGGGAGCTCTGACGGCGCGTTTTCGCCAGCTCTTGGCGCTCCGCTCCACCCGTGCCCTGGACCTTTGGACTTCCGTCGAAGCATACTTGGGCGCTGAAGCCCGACAGCACTATGAACGGAGGCTTGCTCCAACCACATGCCCAGGACGACCCGGTATGCCATGCACATGGCACACCCACGAAGCGGGCGCTGCCGCCGGATTGCAGCGAGGCCAGCGGCGCTGCCCCCTCTGCTGCCAGGCACACATGCAAGCCCTGCACAGGACCACGAGGGGCAAGGGAGCTCTGACGACGTGTTTTCGCCAGCTCTTGGCGCTCCGCTCCACCCGTGCCCTGGACCTTTGGACGTCCGTCGAAGCATACTTGGGCGCTGAGGCCCGACAGCACTATGAACGGAGGCTCGCTCCAACCACATGCCCAGGACAACCCGGCGCGCCCTGCACGTGGCACACCCACCAGGCCGGTGCTGCAGCCGGACTGCAGCGAGGCCAGCATCGCTGCCCCCTCTGCTGCCAAGCACACATGCAAGCCTTACATGGGACGAAAAGGGGCAAGCACACTTTGGCGACACGCTTGAAGCAGCTCTTGGCACTCCGTTCCACCAGTGCCCCCGATCTTTGGAGTCTCGTCGCAAAGCACTTGGGTGCTGAGGCCCGACAATACTATGAACGCCGGCTCGCACCTGCCGAATGCCCAGGGCGACCTGGCGCGCCCTGCACCTGGCACACCACCCAGGCCGGGGCTGCAGCTAAGGTGAAGCCTCTCACCGGCGAGTTCTATTGCCCCCTCTGCTCCCGCGCCCACATGCAAGCGTTGCACGGTACTGCGAGAGGCAAGGGTGCCATAGCCTTGCGACTCTCACAGCTGCTAGCCCTCCGGCCCCAACATGCCGCCGATGTTTGGGCCTGTGTGGAGGCGAACCTCGGCCAAGAGGGCCGAGCCTACTACCAAGCTCGCACCAGAACGCGGGAGTCACTGCCGGGACAGTGGGCAGAGGCCTTGCAGCGGCGACACTCCGTCCATCCGCTGCCTGATGAAGAGGGGCGGCGCCTGTGGCGAGAACGCGCCCGGGCTGATGCGCGCAAACGCGAGAACAAGTTCGGCCTGGCCTTCTCTGCTGAACACTCTGGCCGCGCATGGATGAGTGCCAGGGCGCGGCAATTCGAGTTCTGGTCGATGCATGCTTCCTGGTTCATGTGCACCGAATGCCATCGCCTGGAACCGCGGCCCTTCCACCAGTCCAGTCATGAGAAGAACGCACAGCTGCGCGCAGTTCAGAAGAAGTGCAAGCATTGCGCCCACGGCATCGGGTACCGGGCCCCGACCATCACCGACATCCCGGAGCCCCTGCGCGACCTGACAGCCGCCGCACTCTGGGCCCTGCGCCCTATCGAGATCGACGTGGGCGCCTACCAACGCGGCGAGTACGGTTACCGCATTCACACCGACATGACCCGACTGCGCTGGAGGCCCCAGAGCGTCCGGAAGCAGCTGGCCACGCTGCGAGGCGAGGATCTACGCGTAGCCCAGCAGGCCTGGCGGTTCCTGCACTCGCGGCCACTGCCCTCCATGCCGGAGACTTGGGCAGAGCACACACGGCTCTTTCGTCTTCATCCTGGCTACTCGGCCTACCTGTCCTTCGTGGCGCAGCATGATCGCTTCTTGGACATGGCTGGTCCACGGCTGGACAAGACCGCTCGGCGACTTCCAGTGCGTTTTCTGGAGACCCTTGGCTTGGAGCTTGTGTGAAACCTTCGTGCGGCTGGAGGATGGGAGGCGCCTGGCACGTGAGCGAAGTGATGTGCGGGCGGCGCACGCCCAGCGCCAGCGGGCCGGCCAGGCTGCGGGACGCCACGGGGCGCCGGCAGGGCTCCGAGCACGGGACGCTGGCGACGTCGGGGCGGAGCAGCGCCACAGTGATGAGGAGGAGGACGAGGATTCCCACATCGACTCGGACGCAGAGGATAATGGCGTAGACGACGGGAACGAGGACCGGGAGGACGACGCAGAGTCGCCACTACACTTCTTGAAAAAAGTCCGACCGGCAGTCCCTCAAGGCCAGTTTCCTAGCGAAGGTGACGTCGGCGGTCATCGGGTACGCCTCCGACTACGAACTCGCGCAGTTCGTCTACGATCTGTGGCTGTGGAGTGCCTTGGGCGGCGCAAAGCACGCCTCGGGCGTCCAGATGCGCGTGGCGCTGGCCGGCAAGCCGTTCTCCCCCGAGTACTGGCGGACGCGCCACTTCGCACTGCTGGACTTGCAGAAGCAACTCGGCTATCCGACACTTTTCGTGACCATTGCCCCGTACGAATGGTCCAGCCCCTACCACGCCTTCCTCGAGGACGAGCTGCTGCGCACCTTCAAGACGCGCCTGCATCTGCCCGGACCGGAGTCGTTTCACCTCGCCCACATCCTCACACAGGCAGCCCTGGGTCTCGTCACTGGCTGGAACAAGCAGGGCCGGGGAGGCTGGGCACGCCACGTGCTGGGCGACCAGGCGTCCGCCGGCCAGGGCTCGGTGCTGAATCTGTTCGGTCGCATCGAGTTCCAGGACGGCAAACGGAAGCGCGGGGCCCGCAACGAGCGTCTCGACTACCACGGCAGCGGCCGCCCCCATGTCCACT